TGGGCTGTTTGTGGGCCTAAGCAGCCCTGCGTTTCAGACCTGTAAACATTAACTGTGAATGTGCCCAACCCTAGCATACAACAAGGTGTTCTGAACACTGTTCTTTGGCCCCTGAGCTTCCTAGCGTGGCAGGGCCTGAGGGGAGTCTGTGCCTTCCAGTCCTGCAGGGCCTGCAGGCTCTCCCCACTGGCACCACCCTTCCAGCACCCTCACCTCTCTCTTTCTAACAGGACTTGCCACCAAATGCCTCTTAAGAACCAAACCTCTCCCCTTCTCCACTGCTGGCACAAAGTCTAAGCCTCTGGGCTTGCTCTCGCTGGCCCCAGCTTCAAGGATGTTTTGGAGCCCACCACAGAGCAAGTGACCTTTCAAAATGGTAACGTCCCACCTCTTTTCACTCACCCATGGAGCCCCAGATGGTTTCTCACCTCTGGGCCTGCACACCGGCCCTCCCTGGAGGATGTGACTGCTCCCTCCCGGCCTTCCACGGCTCCCGGACTGAGTGCTGCATCTTGCGCGTGCCATGCCCTCATCTCAGCCCTGGGGACTTTGGTAGTCTTTTTTTTTTTTTCGAGACAGAGTCTCACTCTGTTGCCCAGGCTAGAGTGAGTGCCATGGCGTCAGCCTAGCTCACAGCAACCTCAAACTCCTGGGCTCAAGCGATCCTCCTGCCTCAGCCTCCTGAGTAGCCGGGACTACAGGCATGCGCCACTATGCCTGGCTGATTTTTTTCTATATATATTAGTTGGCCAATTAATTTCTTTCTATTTATAGTAGAGATGGGGTCTCGCTCTTGCTCAGGCTGGTTTTGAACTCCTGACCTCGAGCAATCCGCCCATCTCAGCCTCCCAGAGTGTTAGGATTACAGGCGTGAGCCACCACGCCCAGCCTACTTTGGTAGTCTTAAGACATGGCCACGAATTCTTTGATACTTTCTCCCTCAAAAGGTGGAGCTTAAGTTCCCTCTACTTGAGCACAGGCTGGACTTAGCGACTTGGTTCTGATGAGTGGAACACGGTTGGAATGAGGAAGCACACCATCCGAGGTGAGAATAAAATGTACTATGGCTCCTGCTTCCCCCTCCTTTTGGATCACTTGCTCTGGGAGAAACCAGCGGCCATGTTGTGAGGATCCTCAAGTAGCCTTGTGGAGGTCCACGTGGAGAGGAAGTCATGCTTCATGTGAATTTGGAAGCGGATCTTCCAGACCCAGCCAGGCCTTCAGATGACTCCAGCTCTGGCTCTACACTTGGGCTGCAATCTCCCAAGAGACACTGAGCCAGCACTACTTTAAGATCTGCTCCCAAATTCCTTCCCCACAGAAGCTGTGAGATAATGTTGGTTGCCTTCAGCCACTAAGTTTGGGGTAGATAATTAATACAGTGACAGCAAGTCTGTCTTGCTGCAGCGTAAGATCCAACTGAAAATCACTCCAACGATAAAATTAAATCTAGTACCCTATGTCCAGAAGTCCCAAGGTGGGGTGGCTCTCGGCCTTCCCAATTCACAGGCTCAGTGATATGGCCAGAGACCCAGGTTCTTTCTATTTCTGCTGAGTTTTTGGCATGTTGGCCTCTGTCCTCTGGCTTGTCCCATGTGGTCGTTACACGCTGTGAAGCCAGTTATAGCAGTGTATAGTACTGTGTTCCCACATGCTGGCCTGCAAAGACTGGAAGAGAACAACCTGCCCTGGCATCTTACACAGACTGAGGAAACCCCCCTAGAGCCCCAGGCTGCTTTCCGTGCCTCACTGCCCAGAGATGGGCATGTGACCCTAAGATTCTACTCTGACACTGGGGCTGAGAAGTCAGACTCTCCAGATGACTTTAGCTGCCAGAAACTGAACAAAATAAAAAACCAAGGGTTCCTGTTGATAGAAAGCAGGCAGTGGCTGTGTGGTGATCTCCGGCAGGACGTGGCAGTCCGCCAAACCGACAGTGCCCACAGCCCAGTACACCTCCCTCGGTCTCCCTCAGCTGTGGCTGCACAGCCCCCGTTGGGGCTCCTCAGCACACCCCTTCCTGAGCTGGATTAGCTGCCTGCTTCCCTTCTCACCCCCACCTCACTCCAATTTTTCAAGTTTGGAATTTTTGGGCAAGGCACTGATGTTTTAATCTGTTTCCATGAGAACGCAATGACCAGCACAGGAAGTGCCCAGTTATTGCCCCTTGACCAAACAGAGATATGAGGTTCAGGAGAGACCACCTTGGCTTGTGATGTCAGGGAACATTGCCTTAAAAGACAAGGGCAGTCCTCTGTGCAGAACAAGTGGGTAGGCAGGAGAGAGGAGGCAGGCAGGGTTGCTTCCAAAGGGCCCCTTAGCACTCATGGACTTGGGGAAGTGGTTAGACGTGTTTCTGACAGTCCACTGGCCAGGAGTGGGGTCACTAGAGGAACTAGTCCTGCCTGAGGGACCCTCATCCTCCTATAACCCTCAAACCCTGAGGCTCTGAGACTTTAATTATAGTGCCTCCGTCCAGGAGCCCGCATCTAAGACCAGGGCTGGGAACTAGCTATCTTCTTATCCCACCAGCCCAAGCTGCTTCCAAATCCTCCTGACATCCCAGGAGCCAGAGACCCCACTACAGGCAGGGCTGGGGATGGGCCCTGGAGGGAGAAGGGAATGCCTTCTTAATCGGCTGAGGGAGCATCTCTGCACTCTGGGACAGTGGAAGGGACCACACGGGCACTCAGGGTGTCTTAGTGCATTCTGTGCTGCTATAACAGAATTCTCTTAGGCTCAGTAATTTATGTAGAAAAGAGGTTTATATGGTTCATGATTATGGTGCCAAGTTCAAGATTGGGCAGCTGCATCTGGTGAGGGCCTCATGCTGCTTCGGTTCATGGCAGAGAGTAGAAGGAGAGTGGGCGTATGCAGAGATGGCAGGAGAGGAAGGGAAAGGGAGAAACCCATGAAGCCAGACTTTTCAACCCACTTTTGGGGGAACTCACTCACCCTCTCCACAGGGCATTAATCTGTTCATGCAGGATCCACCCACATTACCCAAACTCCTCCTACTAGGCATCAACTCCCAGCATTGCACATTGGGGATCAAGTTTCAACATGCGTCTTGGCAGAAATAAACCATATCCAATCCATGGCATGTAGTTAAGGGTGGGGCAGGCGGACAGGGAGCTGCACTACGCCATCTCCGGCTGAAACACCAGTAGTGCTGGTCCCTCACCCATCCCTGCAGGCCTGGGCTACTGCCTATGCAGCACCCACTGTCTCCTGGCCCTTTCCAGATTCTGGGAATATGGCTCCAGGCATGGGCCCTGCCCTAAACATGGATGACAGGGAACACACACACAAGCTGCTGGCTCTCCAGAGCTTGTCAGCCTGGGTAAGTGACATGGTAAAGGCCCTGATGGAGAGTCTGCACCCTGGGCTAGCCCCAGCTCTGCTGCCCACCCATATATGTCACCTGGACAAACCAGCTGCCCAGCACCCAAGACAGAGAAAAAAACTTGCTTATTGCTCCTCCAAGACCCCTAGGTGCAGCAGAGCCCAGGGCCTTCCCAACTCCTTTCAGCTATGGTGCAGCTGCCAGCCTGCCAAGGAGTCAGAAACAGTTTCTGGAAGAGTCAGCACCAAGAGGATGCTGAGTGGGCATGAAGCATCCCAGAGAAGTGTTGACTATGTGGTCACTTGCTTTTCTAGAACTGCAACTAGGAGTACCCTGACCCCAAACTAAGGGGCTGGGGCCTGGTGGAATCCAAATAGCACAGTGTCACGCCACCTGAACAACTTCTACTCACACAGGCCCTGTCTGGCCTCTCAGAGGAAGGAGCTGCAGCCGTTACAGGAACCTGGGGCTCCCAAACCAGGTTTAGTTTCTCTTCCAGCAGTAGGGACTTTTCACACCTGACGGCAAGAAATATGGCTTCTGCTTAACCATCCTTCATATCCTGAGGTCTAGTAAAAGTGGCTAGAAGAGGCAAAAGGCGTAACAGGTAGCAAACAGCTGTCACTAGAAGGGCTGGAGTCCTCTTCTCTCCTGTCCGACCGTCTGTAAAGACTCTAGCCTCAGTGAAGCAGGCTTGGAGGGGCAGGCAGAGAAGAAGCCTCTGGCTAGCCCAACTCCTTGCTGGGAATGGAGGACAGATTCCTGCATCAAAGGTGAATCCTGGAGCAAGCCCCGAGATCACTGTCCTCACCTCCCCATGGCAATAAGTGGCCCTGAACTGTGACTGTGAGTCCAGGAGGTCACTCCCCAGCCACCAGGTCCAGATGTCCAGCCATCTAGGGACAAAATGCTTGGCGGGACGCTCCAGCCTCACCCCTTGTCCCTGCTTAAGACACAAGAGCTTCCGATCTGAAATAGCCTCTCGACAAAGCCGGGTCCCTGAAAGCCCGACCCCGGCGACGCGGCCCGCTCAAGCCTCTCCCAAACACAACCACGAGAGCTGCGGGCACTGGGTCTGTCCTTGACGGCTCGCAACTCTCCTTCCCAAGCGAACCTCTCCTTCGTTTCCCCCAACAACCCGCCGCCACGAGCTCCGCCGCGGACTGGCAGGCAGATGCCGGAAGAAGAGACGCATTCTGGGAAGGAGAGACGCATTCTGGGAGTGGCGCTGCATGCTGGGACCTGTAGTCTGCGGCGCGACCGCGGCCGAGGCGGCCTCCCACATTCCGGTAGCTCCAAGAACCCGCAAGTCCAAGCGGCCCCGACCCCCCGGCCCGAGCCGAAGCATCCAGAGAGCAAAATGCCTGCCGGCCCTCCGAGCAGGAGCCCTGCCTGCGACAGTTCCCAGTCCTGCCGGCTCCGGATGCAGAAATACAGCAGGCGCGACGGCGCGGCCTCGCGAGAGCCGAGCTCAGGGACCCCGCCCCCGTGGGGCTTTGGCAGCCCGGCTTGCTCCTCCCAACGCTCGAGTGCGATTGGGCCGCTGTGTCATGTGATCCGAAGCGACGCTCCGGGTTGGCTGCAGCTTGGTTACCTGGGCGACGGAGCGGGCTGGCGCCCTGACTGGATCGGCACCCGCAGGTGCCGGCGGGCTGGACGGCCAGGTCGGGCGGGGGCCGGGCGCGCTCGCGCTCCCTCCGGGGCCGCCACCCTGCGTCCGCCGGCTGCAGATGGGCGCCCGGGGCGTCGAAGATGCGGGCGGGCCGGGGCGAGACGCCGGCGCCGGCCAGGGAGCTCTTCCGGGACGCCGCCTTCCCCGCCTCGGACTCCTCGCTCTTCTCCAACCTGTCCACGCCGCTGGCCCAGTTCCGGGAGGACATCACGTGGCGGCGGCCCCAGGTGGGGCGCGGGGCGCGGGCCCTGCCGTTATCCTCGGAAGCGGGCTCGGGTGGCGCCCGCCGCCCCTCGGAGCCCCTTCTCCAGCCCGTTCGGTGCGAGCGGGACTTCCGGCCGACCATCCGTGGGCTCCACCTGCGGGAGCTCCGGCAGAGCGAGTGCGGCTTCTCGGCAGGGACACGAACCGCGCCGCCCCCTCTCCTGTTCCGGAGAGCTCTGGCCGCACCTGGTTTCGGGTCAGGGCGCGGCGACCCTGCCCTGCCGCTCCTGCTCGCCATGTGTGCTGTCGCTGGCAGTGAGGGCCTCTCCTGCCCTTCTGGATGGCCAGGCTGAGCGCTCAGAGCAAAGCGGGGTAGAATTTCAGTTTGGGACTCTGCACCTGCATTTCCAGTCGTAAACGTTTTTAAATGGCAACACAAAGGGATGCCCTGGCCCAGTGCTGCGTTGATATTTTTAGAAATGGTTTGTCTGTTGATTGAGACTGCCCAGGAACACCCTTCCCCTAAGTGGGTGCAGTCTTTGTGGAGACACCTGGGTGGCCACCAGCCTCTGAGCAGAGCGGAACTTCCTGGCTGGTTCTGGCATCTGAGGTGGCTTTAACTGGCGACTTGGTTTCCTTGGGCAACTGGCAGAGAGCCCAGGAGGAGGCAAGGGTCAGAGCCTGAAGAGCCTTTGGGCCATGGCATTGGAATTTGGGTTTTATTTGAAAAATGGGTTTTTGGTGCAATTAGAAGTTAGTATAAGGTTTCAGTAGAGAATTGATTCTATTGAATTTATTTATTTGCTTTGTTTTTGTTTGTTTATTTACTTAAGAGACAGGGTCTCACTGTGTCACCCAGGCACAGTGCAGTGGCTGGATTACAGCTTAAGCGATCCTCCTGCCTCAACCTCCTGAGTAGCTGGGACTACAGACGCTTGCCACCATGCCCGGCTAATTTTTAAAGAATTCTTTTGTAGAGACGGGGTCCTGCTGTTGCCGAGGCTGTTCTTGAATTCCTGGCCGCAAGCAATCCTTCACCTCAGCCTCCCAAAGTGCTGGGATTACAGGCCTGACCCACCTCACCCAGCCTTGGTTCTGTGTTTTAAGAAGCTCACTCTTGCTGCTGGGTGGGAAGTGAAGTGTCGGGGCAAGAGTGCAGTGGTCCTGGAGAAAGACGAAGGGGGCCTAGGTTAGTGTGACAAGCTTTAGGGTGTGGATTTGGAGAGATGGAGTTGAGGAAGACTTTGGAGGGGGATTGAAGGAGAAGGTGAGGATAACAGAGGAGTTAAGTGTGGCTTCTGGATTTCTAGCCTGAGCACCTGGGTGGATGGCAGCCCAGACAGAGCCTGGGGTGATCTGGAGTTGGGCTTTGCTCTCACATGTTGAGGTGGAGCTGTCAGGAAGGCAGGTGGATGTGGGAGTGGAGGGCTCAGCAAGATCTGGGCTACAGGCATCTGTCTGGAGTTGGAGTGTCATAGGTGGCTTATAGTCCAAGGCCTGGGAGGGTGTGCAGGAGGAAGTACCAGCAGAGAAGAAGGGGGGCTCAAGACTGAACCTTGAGGAACCCTAACTTTTCTTGAGTTCAGGCAGGTGTCCTGACAGGTAGACTTGAGAAGCAGTGGGCAGTGAGGTGAGAGGACAGCCAGGTGCATGTGGCATCATGGAGTCCAAGAAGGGACCACTGTGTGTGTGTGGGGGGGACACAGTTAGCTGTTCTGAATGCCGCCGAGTAGTCGGGAAGGACAAGGGCAGAGAGCTGCCCATGGGAGGGGCAGCAGCTCCTTCAAATAGGTTGTTGATGAGAGGGAGCCTGGGAGAGAATGTGGTGTGGAATGACGTCTTGAAGAAGACGGGCGATTCTCTCTCCTGCCTTTATGCTAGTGGGATCCTCTCTGGAGGTGGGAGGGACAGAGTCGTGGCGGGAGTGCAGTCTCTGGGCGGCAGAAGGGGCGCAGGGCCAGTGGCTTCTGGTGAAGCAGAAGCCAGACAGGCAGCTCAGAGGCGTGGGCAAGGGGAGCTGGATTGTTGGGAGGTCAGAAAGGAAGGGGAAGGTATGAAATGGTGTGGGGATGTGGGAAGTAGACCCTTCTAGAGAAACGGCAGCAGTAGGGTTTCCAGCAGAATGGAGGACCCATGTGAGATTTGCCATCTGAATTCAGAGTGAAATTGTTTCCTAAACCAACATTTAGCTGTTTCGAGAAGGAGCATGGTAGGATTCGTCGGGAGTTGGGGCTTTTGCTAATAAGGAAGGTAGACAGTGACGGGCACCCCAGAAGCTGAGCTGGATGGGGGTCTGCAGCCAGGAGGCGCTAAAGGACAGTGGCTGCCAGAAGCCAGCTGCAGCTTGTCCCCTGGTGGGCAACAGAGGTGATCAGAAGCGCCTCTCCAGTGTGTCCCCTAGATCCTTAGGTTTTAGTTTGAAAGACTAGCCATCAGCCACGATCTAACTCTGGACAATTATCTTTATTTCAGGAAATTTGTGCTGCACCCCGGCTGTTTCCAGACGAGCCGTGGGAAGGGCAGGTGAAGCAGGGGCTGCTGGGGGACTGCTGGTTCCTGTGTGCCTGCGCTGCGCTGCAGAAGGGCAGGCACCTCCTGGACCAGGTTGGCGATGGCGCAGCTTTCTCTTCTGCCCTTTCCTTCCGCCACGTCGCAGTGAGCTCCTGCACGAGCAGAGCCTTGCAGCGGCCGGGTCTCTTCTTTGCCAGGGCCTTTGCTCTAGCCTCACCATCTGTGACCCTTTTTTACACACGAGGGTGCTAAAGCAGTTGTCATTGTGTGTCTGCCTAGTAAGGGCACAGCCAGGACCCAGTCCATGCTGGTCTGAGTGCAGACCCCGAGGGAGCCCGGCAGGAGGTGCAGGTGGCTGTCGGGGGTGAGACACCAGACTCTAGCAGCAGGGGGGGGCCACCACTCCTGTGGTGACATGCTGTCTGCAGCCAGCTCTTGTCAAGAATTAGGGCACTTGTACCTGCAGAAGTCACATTTGTTTTGGATTCAGGTCAAATGCTTATTTAGGACAGTAGAACATATTTGGAGATGCTTGGCTCCCTCAGGACGGTCCTAAAATATTTAAATGAAAGGTCTGCTAACTTTGTGTCCAGTGACTGAACTTCCTATGAGCATCGACACCTAGGCGTGGAGCAGAGTCCTTTGAAAACAGCAGGGGCTGCGGAGGGGTTCGGCTGTGGTCACGCTGATGTTAGGATGCTGAAGAGCGCCAGGTGGTGCTTGTCTCATGGTCTCCTTTGCCTCTCCCTGTGTGTGGCAGGTCATCCCGCCAGGACAGCCCAGCTGGTCCGACCAGACGTACCGGGGCTCCTTCACCTGCCGAGTCTGGCAGTTTGGACACTGGGTGGAGGTGACCACAGATGACCGCCTGCCGTGCCTTGCAGGAAGACTCTGCTTCTCCCGCTGCCAGAGGGAGGATGTGTTCTGGCTGCCCTTGTTGGAAAAGGTCTACGCCAAGTACGTGTGCTGGGCCATGGCGGGGCAGGTGGGGAGCTGCCACCACCCTGGGCTGCCCCGGGAGGCTTGTCCCTGCTCGCTCTGGGCTGCAGGCCCTTTTCGGTTCTGCGGGGCCGGCGGCCTGTTGTGCGGGAGGGGCCTATTGTCCCAGACGTGGAGGTTCTGCTCATGGGCCAGCAGGAGTCTTGGCCTCCACAGAGGGAACGTGCCCTGTCCTCCTGTTCCTCTCAGACCCAGCAAGAACCACGCTTCCAGATATTTGCGTCTGAGCACCTGGGGCAGGCAGCCTCCCTGCGTGGTCACTGGCGAGGAGTGAGGCCGCCCAGGCCCACCAGTGCTTGCATATCGTGGTCCTCACTTGGGGACTGTGGCCCTCCCCACGATGTCAGTTGAATAGCCTTCCCTCTGCGGATGTGTCTGTCACCTCGCTGAGAGGCTGGGCTGGGCAGCTGTGTCCGAGGAATTGAGGAAGGCCGCCAGGGCAGTCAGTGCCGCAGTCCAGGCTGTGGATCACATGCCCTGGGACGTGCTGGAGACCACAGGGGTCAGGAGAGGCGGCAGCCGTGCCCGGGGCTGACACTCACTCTGGTCGTGGCTGTGTTCCCTCAGGGTCCATGGCTCCTACGAGCACCTGTGGGCAGGGCAGGTGGCGGATGCCCTGGTGGACCTAACTGGGGGCCTGGCAGAAAGGTGGAACCTGAAGGACTTGGCGGGAAGCAGCGGCCAGCGGGACAGGCCCGGGGGCCAGGAGCACAGGTCTTGCCACCAGCTGCTCCACCTGAAGGACCAGTGTCTGATCAGCTGCTCGGTGCTCAGCCCCAGGGCAGGTGAGGCGCGGCTCACGCGACACGTAGCTTTTTATGTGACTGTTTATGCAGCCCTGTCAGGACTAACTGGGCAGAAGGAGATTTGTCCTTGAGGGTGGTGTCCTGGGTTTGTGGCCTTTCCCTACTGTCCCCTGCTCCAGAGAGAGGGACCCTTTTTTTCCCTTGACTAGTCCTTTCCGCTGGCACGAGCAGGGACTCGTGTTCTGGTCACTGCCGCGCGCGGGTGTTGTGAGAAGCAGGCAGCGCTGAGTCGAAGCCGGGCGCGTGTGTCACCCCTGGGCCAGCTGGCGACCTGGCAGGTCAAAGCTCATTCTTTACTGTAGTGATGTGTGTGCTTCTTTATTAAAGAAAGTTTGTTTATAAAAAAGAAAAACCACTTGAATATAAGCACGTGTGATTCTTCGGTGCACATTCTCAGTTTTTTCACAGACGTATTCCTTTTCCGTTCTGTATTACAGACGGCGTTTCCCACGCTATTGCGTAAGCTTCGTCAGCGTTGTGCTTCATTAGCGGACTTGCTGTCGCTCTCTCAGTCCCTTCCCTGATGTCGGATGTTTAAAGTGTTTCTGATTTTATATAATTATAAATAACATTGGCATGAACATCTTTATATTTTTTTTATATTTAGGATTATTTTTGTAATTTTGGTTAAAAAAACGTGACTATCAGACTGGAAGCTGATGACAGTCACACCCCCAGCGTGTGTGTGAGGGCTGGTGTGGGCCCTGGTCTGGGTCCCCACAGGCAGACCCGAGACGGACTCCGGAGCACAGTGGGGGTGCAGGGAGGCCGGAGGGCGTGCACTCCCCGAGCCTCCCCAGAGGAGCCAGGGCGCTGGCCTGGGAGCTCCCGGGGGCGGGCGTGGGGAGCTAGGACTAACTCCTGGCACTTGAGGCTCTGGAGAAAGCCCAGACAGAGGTGCGGCTGCTGGCGCTGGAGATGGCTGGAGCCTGCTGAGGTGGCCAGGGGCTGGGGACGTGCAGGACACCGAATGGCGGCTGCAGCGCTGCTCTAAGCAAAGCATGGCAGCCCTTCCAGGAGTTCCTTCTCTTCTTTCCAGGCCCCCATGCCTCTCGACCCGGCACTGCTGTGCTCGGCTGTTCCATTTCTACGTCCGTGTGTCTCGAGGTCTCTGGCCAGGGTAGCTGTTTCCTCTCTGGGCCCCCAGTCCTCCCGTTTTTTCTGGTCGGATGCTGTCTCAGCGTGCCCTGCCTCCCGAGAGCTTTGCCTGTGCAGATCCCTCGGGTCCTTGGCAGTTGCAGTTGTGTCGACAGTAGCAGTCGTGGCGTGTCTGAGGACTGGCCCTGTGCTGATGGGCGCGGGCAGCGTGAGGCCCAGAGAAGGGATGACTTGTTTAGCACCAGACCCGGGTGGCAGCCGAGCCGGGCTCAGTGTGTGCGGTGCTCGCCCAGGGGGTCCCGAGCTCGCTGGGCTGCGGTTGTTGGGAAAGGGGCTCCTGTGGTCCGTGGGGGTCGGGGGCCTCCTGTGCAGCCACCGGTGGGTGGGCTGGCGCGTCTCCCAGGGAGGGAGACGAAGACCTGCGGGTCCTTGTCCGTCTGGGGGCCTCATGCTGCCCTTCCTGCTGTGACCCAGCTGCTCCTCACATAGGTGCCAGGGAGCTGGGGGAGTTTCATGCCTTCCTTGTCTCGGATCTGCGGGAGCTCCGGGCCCAGGACGGCCAGGGCATCCTCCTGCTGCGGATCCAGAACCCCTGGGGCCGGCGGTGCTGGCAGGGGCTCTGGAGAGAGGGGTGAGTGCGGGGGGCAGGTCTTGCCGTGGTCAGGAGGAGGGCCGTGACGGCCATAGGTTTCCGGGACCCGGGACCCGGGACCCATCTGGCCCACACCCTGGTCACATCCAGCTGGCAGGAAGGACAGTGCTTGGTTGTCTCTGGCAAGGCCCACTTAGTGCCTGCTTGCGGGCACCGCACTCTGTCTGGGCCGTAGACAGTTCTCGTGAGGCCTGGGCCTCCGTCCAGGGCCATGGGTACATGTCATTCTGGGCTCGGGTGGTGGCCCTGGCAGGAAGCTCCTCTGGCCAGAGAGAGAGACTCTGAAGGGTGGCCACCGCCCGGAGGGCCTGGTGCTGCAGACTCCTGTGAGCGCGGGGCTCTGGCCCACCCCGCTCTGCCTGTCAGGGAGAGTCTCCTGCTGGACACGCTTTCTTCCAGGGGTGAAGGCTGGAGCCGGGTGGACCCAGCGGAAGAGTCTGAGCTCCTGTCCCAGCTCCAGGAAGGGGAATTCTGGGTGGAGGAGGAAGAGTTCCTGAGGGAGTTTGACGAGGTCACTATTGGCTACCCAGTCACAGAGACCGGCCACCTGCAGAGTCTCTACACAGGTACGAGTGCGTGCGTGGGGAGTTGCTCCCTCCTGGAGGAAGAAGGCTGGGCAGCAGCACTCTCGCCCGGCGGGGCGGCGCTCTCGCAAGGTGCTGGCTTCTCCGTCTCCGTGCCCTGCCTCAGCTCGCAGCGCGGAGCCGGCGTGAGCCGTTGCCTGGAGTGGACGCGTGCCGTTCTCACTAGGAAAGGTGCTCTGCCACACGCGGGCCCTGCCTGGGGCCTGGGTCAAGGGGCAGTCGGCAGGAGGCTGCCGGAACAACAGCGGCTTTCCCAGCAACCCCAAGTTCTGGCTGCGGGTCTCAGAACCGAGCGAGGTGTTCGTTGCCGTCCTGCAAAGACCCAGGATGTGCAGGGCAGACGGGGCAGGCCGGGCCCGGGCGCTGGTGGGTGACGACCGGACCTCATGGAGCCCCGCGAGCTTCCCGGGCAAGGACTACCAGGCCGTGGGCCTGCACATCTGGAAGGCAAGTCAGCCCGCCTCGCTCCCCCTCGGTGAGGTGGGGGCACAGAGCCCGCGGGGCTCTGGGTCCAGGAGTTGCCACACTGGGACGTGTGTGACCGCACACGTCTCCCACTCCCGGGGCTGCTGCAGGGTCAGACGCCAGCTGAGGCCCCCACAGCGAGGCTCTGACCTGAGTCTACAAGGCCGGGCCCCTCCCCAGGCCCACAGGAGGGCCCTGGGCCCGGTAGGCTCAGGCCCACCGCCCCTTTCTGAGGCAGGGAGGGCAGAACCCCCTGAGGGGCTGCGCCTCTCCACACGCTGAGCCTCCGCCCTGCGGTCGTAGGTGGAGAAGCGGCGGGTCAGCCTGCCCAGGGTCCTGTCCGCACCCCCCGTGGCCGGCACCGCGTGCCACGCGTATGACCGGGAGGTGCACCTGCACTGTGAGCTCGCCCCGGGCTACTACCTGGCCGTGCCCAGCACCTTCCTGAAGGACGTGCCGGGGCAGTTCCTGCTCCGGGTCTTCTCCACCGGGCGGGTGTCCCTCAGGTGAGCGGAGCCAGTGTGGGCGTTTGCTCTCCGAGGCCACAGCCCCGGGGAAGCGCGGACCCCTCACGGGTAGGGTTCGGGTGGTTCCCCTTGGGTCGGTGAGAGTTCATGCCTGGGACACGCCGCCTGTCTCTCCTGTCAGCGCCGTCAGGGCCGCGTCAAAGAGCGCCGGCCCCGGGGCAGCCCTGCCCGCCGGGGAGTGGGGCACCGTGCAGCTGCAGGGCTGCTGGCAAGCTGGCCAGACGGCAGGGGGCAGCAGGAACTTTGCCTCCTACCCGACCAACCCCTGCCTCCCCTTCTCCGTCCCTGAGGGCCCTGGCCCACGCTGCGTCCGCGTCACTCTGCGTCAGCACTGCCAGCCCAGGGGCAGCGAGTTCCACCCCATCGGCTTCCACATCTTCCAGGCAAGCTCCTCGCCCGGGGAGGGGTCGGGGAGCCCCAGGGGATTTGCATCTTGGTCCATGTTGTCCTGGCTTAGTCATTTGGGCGCATCAGCCAGACTGGCTGGTCACGTAGACTCATCTTTAGGTTTCCCAAAGTCCGTGTTCACCGGGGTCAGCCCAGGCAGCCCTGTCCACCCGCTCTGGCTCAGAATGACTGTCTCGGGTCCATTCTCGCAGGACCCAGGGCTCTGCCGGCTGCTTTGGTGGCTGTGGCCCCAGGAAGCTACTGCAGGGAGGTCCCACCTGCGTCCCGCCCTGTGGAATGGTCACACACCCTGGAGCCCTCCGGGCACAGCACCTCTTCCCGTGCCTGTGTCACTGAGTGCTAGGCGCGGAGGGGAGGACTGAGCGGGTTGGGGGGTGCCTGCTGGGAGCCGGGAAGAAGCCGTGGCCTGGTTCATGGTGGGGAGGGCACTTCAGGTGCCCAGAAGAGCGTGTGGCCTGCGCACGGTGACTGCCCCGCGGCAGCAGCCTGCTGGGCGGGGCTGCTGAATGGACAGGCAGGGAGGGTTTGCAGGCCAGACACAAACCAGGTGGGCAAGGAGATCTGGAGGGAGCGCCCGGCCACCCCGAGGTGGGTCTGGAGCTGGCAGCTGGGGCTGTAGGAGTCTGCAGGTGGGCTCAGCCACGCCAGCAGGGGCTTGGGTCTCAGACAGCAGGCAAGAAGGACAACAGTGCCACTCCAGCCCAGGGTCACCTACAGAAGGGGGTGGGAGAGCGGGAAGGAGAGGCCGCCTGTGGAGACCTCGTGATGGGAACCTTGATGGCCGAGGAGTGGCCCCTCTGCCAGGTGTACCTGCCGGGGAGAGGAGCTCGTGCAGGTGGGTGGGTCAGCGCGTAGCCGCACCAAGGCATCTTCCCCGGCCTGCCCTGCCCTGTCGGTCCCTGGCGACCAGGCAAAGACCCTCAGCAGATCCTCCTTGCTCCAGGCCACCAGTACCCGGGGCCAAGGAGTGGCAGGGTTTTTAAATAAAGCCCCCTGGCGATCTGACGCTGCCAGGCCCACCGATGGCGCTGTCGTGAGAGTGCTGGGGCCTTGGTGAGGAGGTGGTCCCTCCTCTAGAAGGCGAGTGACTCAGGGGCTGAGGGCATCCAAGCAGCTGGCACGAGCTGCCAACGGAACCCCAGGCCGTGCACCCTCCACTGGGGCAGTGAGGAAGGGGAGCGGCCTCTGGGCTGTGTGTGCCCCATCCCACGCAGGCCCCCCATGTGCGCCTGTGCCTGTCCCAGGTGCCTGCGGGGGGTGAGAGCCCGGGTGCGGCCCCACTGCTGCTGCAGGAGCCGCTGCTGAGCTGCGTGCCCCATCGCTACGCCCAGGAGGTGAGCCGGCTTTGCCTGCTGCCGCCCGGGGCCTACCGGATCGTGCCCTCCACCTACCTGCCAGACACCGAGGGCGCCTTCACTGTGACCATAGCAACCAAAATAGACAGGTGGGGCCCGGGGCCTGGGGGTGGCCAGTGGGAGGCTGGGGCCCTGGCATCTTGGCACTCGGCTGTCCGCGCCCTGCCCTGCCCTCTCTTCACGCCGAGCTCCTCCCCATCCTGCCGGACGGAGCAGACACGCACGCCTCGTGCCCCTTCCTTGCTCTGCGCCTGGTGGGCGGTGGGCCCTGGTGCGCGGCGGGGTCTGGAAGGTGACGTGGCACTCTCTCCGCAGGCCGTCCATTCACAGCCAGGAGATGCTGGGCCAGTGCCTCCAGGAGGTGGGTTCGCTGCCCCTCGCCTGCCCGGGCGGCCTGAGGTCTGGTGGCCTCTGCTCGGGACATGAGGCCCTCGTCTCTTGCCGTGAGAGCCCTGGGCAGAGCCTCCAGCTGCCAGAGGTGCAGGGCCTACGTCCCCGTCCCGGGCACCTGGGTGGGCTGAGGAGGGGAGGGCGGCTAGTGCAGTCCCTGCCCAGACCCCGTCTGTCCTCTCAGGTCTCCGTCATGGCCGTGATGAAAACCTAGCTGGTGGCGTGTGTGCCCATTCGGCAGCCGGGGCGTCCGCACTGGCGCCGCCTCTGAGCCTCAGCGGCTGAAGCTCCAGGAATGACCACGTGCCTGGGTCCGTGCACGGCGCCGCGACCCGGGAGATGTAGCCGAGCAGGTGCAGAAGGGGCAGGTGCAGAAGGGGCAGGCACAGCCCGGTGGCCTCTGCGTCCTGCCGCCGAGACGGCAGATTCCAGGGCCGGACACTCGAGAGCGTCCCAGAATTCCTCCCACATCTCTGCTGTTGGCTCCAGATGGGGGCCTCACACCCGGCAGGTGAACACGGCAACAAACCTTGTTTGGAACTTGAGGGTGTAACTTTATAAATAAACATGAACACCAAGCCACTCACACACTCACCTGGTTCCGGGGAGCAGGAGGCTGGGCCTCGCTGTGTCGCTGTGGGGGCAGGGCTGGGGGGGCTGTTGAGACTGAGACGGGTGACAGGGCTATACTGGTGGCCTCCGGAGGGGCCAGGGACCTGGGCAGTGGGCGGGGCCGGCCAGGCTGGGCAGGCGGAGTCCTGGGCTGGGGGACGCAGGACACTGCGGGACTCGGGTGCTAGGAACAGAGAACCAGCACGAAGGCACCACCCAGGCCTGGCAGTGAGGAAAGACGCCTCGGGACAGATTCTAGAACAGGAGCCGCTGTGGCAGGAACATGAGGTCCATGCAGAGGGGTCCGTGGGTCTAGAGGGCACCTCTGCCTGCAGCCAGCACTGGCTACGAGCTGTCCTGGGGGACTGGCTTCTCCATCCCCACTCCCACTCCCCACCCCAGGCTGCAGTGAGAGCCGAGGGTGCCACTGAACAGTGCAGGGACAGTCCTTGACGCTGGGTGGGGACAGCTGCCACTAGTCCCTTTTAAACTCCTTTGCTTCTGGGCCCCTTGGTGGCTGGCAGACCCAGAGAGCCTGGCTTAGACCCCCGTTCCAGCTGTGCTCATCTGTGTCTGTTCCTCAGTCTGCACCCTCATGGGAGCCTGCGCCCACCATCCTCTCCCTCGTGCCCTGGCTGCTGCCTGGGCCCCGAGAGCTCCCCCTGCCGTCCTCCAGCCCCCAAGCTGTGGGGGCAGCGCACTTCTCAGGGGCGGGGGCCACGCCCAGCAGCAGGGCGTGAGCTGGAATAGCTCCTGGTGCCTCCTACAAGTCCCAGCGTGGTGCTCCCTGGTCCCCTGGCTCCAAGGCAACTTGGGCGGAGCTGGGGCTGCTGGGGTGTGGTTGGCAGTGAGGAGCAGAGCTGGCCCAGAGCCAGCTAGGCATGGGGGCAGGTCCTGTGCGGGCGCCCGCTGTGCAGGGGGTCTCCGTACCACTGAGGCGGGCACGGCTGGCACCTGCGAAGGGACAACTTGGAATGGCCTCCTGGGATCCCCATCCAGCCCCACCCCCACCCCATTGCTCTGGGCTGGGCCCTGCAGCCTGTGCGCTAGCTGGTCTCTGGGAGGTGCTGACACCTTGTCTAGGAGCCCCAGGGGCCTGGGGGGACTGGGGCATCTTCTCAGGGAGGGGGAGGGCTCAGGGCTCGGAAGCTTCCAGAGAGTCTGGGGAGTAACATTTCCAGGCTCCGCTAACTGCCCACTCCCCTGCTCAGGGTCTGCAGGGAGATGTCCCCAGGGCACCTGGGAGAGGGACCTGGAGGCGTGGGGCAGCCTGGAGGCGTGGGGCAGCGACCCTTGGAGGTGCCCGCTGGCCTCTGGGAGGGAGGGGAGGCTGGCAGGAGGCAGGCGCCACGGGGCTTCCCCCGCGTCCTGGCACCTTCACTACTGGCCTCCCCACGGGCTCTTGGCTCAGCTCTGCTTAGCACCAGGGTAGAGGCCATCCAGCCGCCTGACCCGCCCAGCCTCAGCCCTGCCTAGAGCGTCACCGCCAGCCTGCCTGCACCTGTGCGAAGGTGCACGAGGACCCGGGGCGGCCAGGCTGCCCCGCCCTGCGTTGTCTGGGGGCCCCAGGGCTGGCGTGGAGCCGGCAGCCGGGTCCAGCGTCCTGCTCTCCCGAGGCCATCTCAGCTCCGACAGTCACCCGGCCAGCCTCCCATCCGCACCCGTTCCGCAGGGCCGTCGGGAAGCGTGCTTTCTCCCCCCGAGACTCCTGCTCTTCCTGTCAGGCCACAGGGCCGCTGCGACAGTGCCCCAGACGGAGTGGGTCCTCTGCCGCGCAGACTTCTCATGCCTTTGCCCTGTTCTCACGTGCGGGGGAACGGGGGTCGCTCTGGGGCATTTCTTGTGGGTCACTGCTCCCATTCTTCGTGACCCACCCCTCCCCAAGGCCCCGCCTCCCACTTCCATCACCTGGGGGGGAGGATTTCCGTGTGGGCATTTCGGGGTGACACAGAGTATGGCCCACAGCAGCGCCCTTCTCTTACGTGCTCCTCAGCAGCCCTCAGAGTCCCAGTGGCCTGTGTCCCTCCCAAGCAGGGATACCAGGCGCCAGAACTCTCCGGAACACCTGAAGGCACAGTCTGACCTTTCCATGGTGTCCGGGGCTGTGGCCAGAGCCAGGCCCAGACTGGGGTCCCGGCTACACTGCAGGCTGCGGGTGGAGCCCCTTCCGCTCGGTGCGGGACACGGGGGAGGGTGGCCCTGGCGGAGCCAGGCGGGCGGGTCTGGGCGTGTGTCCCCAGCATTTCCTTCCCGCTCCGCAGACTTTGACCTGCACCACCTGCGTGGGTTGCTCCCGGTGTCACTTCCGGCTCCACACAGCAGTCGGTGCCCCGGTGGGAACTGTGTCCTGCCAGTCCTGGGGCTGGCGTCTTCTCACTCCCTGCAGGCGGGCGTCTGAGCGTCCGTCGGGGTGAGTACCGTACAGGGATCCTGCTGCCCAGGAGCACGGAGCTGGGGAGGGCCTGGCCGGCTGCGCTGCCTGCCAGGAGGAGGGACAGGCTGGGGCCAGGGCGGTCACGCCCGGCGGGTCGCGCTCTCCCGCCGTTCATAGTCATGCCTCTCGCAGTGTCCCACGCATGCCTGGTTTGGGTTTTGTTGGGTTTTTCTCTCCAAATACTCAACGATCGAAGCCAGCTTTGCTGCCCTTTGAAACTGATGGGAGAGTCACTTTATTCCTGCGGATAATTTGGAGTCTTTGGACCCCAACGTGAAGCACTGGCTGTAGCTGCTTCATCAGGGGAAGGGGCTGTTCTGGCTTGGAGGAAGGGCTTTGGTGGGCAGGCCGGCCTTGCCAGCCCAGGGGCACTCGGCTCTCTGCGGGTCCCAGAGGAGCTCCGGCCGCAGTCTCGGGCTGTCCGGGCAGGGCTGGGACTCGAACAGTCAGTCTCCCCACAGATAGCGCCTTGAGTCTGGGCTGGGACCACAGACCTGCTCGCTCAGGGGTGCCGGGGAGCACTGGCGCCAGGTTTAGTCAGAGGCACGCACGGTTTCCCCCACCCAGGCCAGGGCTCAGGTTGGGCCCATCCTCAGCTGCCTGGGACGCCCGATCCCTTTGTAAATCTGCCAGGAGACGCACAGCCCTGGCTGGGCTAGACCAGCCCTTGTGCCCTGTGGGTTCCTGGGACCTAGACAGGTGTGACGTGGGGGCACTGTAGTGGCATGTGCAGGTGTCTCCGTTTTCCAGCTGACGAGGGCTCACCCCTCCTCCTGCAAGCCCAGTGAGGACATTGAGCAGCACGGATATGTCACGGGAGGGGTCTTACCCATCATTGACTAACCACCTATCTTATGGGGTGTATGCAGCAATCACAGGAACAATATGTTTATCGTGTGGCCTCTAGACCCCAATGCCGTGGGGCGGGGTTGCTCTTGCTACTCGCAGCTCAGATCCTTTGTTATGCCTCTAGGCAACACCTTTGTTTATCACAGGGAGCCTGTCTGGAACAGATTACTTTCAAACACTCTGGGCAGAACACATACGTTACTAACTTTAATTCTTAAACTAGGAAAATATATGTCAGTCCCCTACACCCACTATCTCGCTGCCCACTGTTCCTCCGTTCTGAAGACCCCCAAGCACATGGGGGTGGGTGGCACACTACCGCAGATGTGGCCGAGACATGCAACACCTGCCCCTGCGGTGCATGCAGTTCACTGGGAGGGCTGTCTGCACACAGGTGATCCAGAGAGTCAGAAAGTGAGTAGACACAGGAACGGGGGGGGGGGTGGCAGTGGGGTGTTCCTTGACCAGGTAAGGGTCAGCCAAGGGCAAGAAAGGGGCTAGGCATGCTCGGAGGGTGGAAAGACTGCTCGCTGTGCCTGCCGTTTGGGGAGTGGGCTTGAAGAACACAGCAAGGGCTGAGGCTGGAGAGGCAGGCAGGGGCCTTGTGTGTTACTTAAGGAGCTCGAGTTCTGTCTGGTGGGTGTAGGGGAGCCACTGTGTGGTCTAAACCAGGGTCTCACACATGCATGTTTGAAATCTCTCTGGTTGAAGTCCTGAGGGTGAACTGGAGGTTGGCAACAGCCAAGGCTGTTGCAGACATTTAGGTGGTGTCCTGGGTGAGGGAGGAGGTGACAGAGGCCGAGAGAATAGGCAAGTTTTAAGGTATGCCCAGACAGCAAAACCAACAGGACATGATGCTTGATGCTTAATTGGCTCAATCCCATAGAACAACACAAGGAGAACAGACATCTTCCAATCCATGAACATGGTATACTTGTCTATTTATTTAGGCCTTCTTTAATTTCTCCCAGCAAAATCCTGTAGCTTTGAGCATACACATTTCACACTTACTCCAAAGTACTTCATTTTTCAATGCTTGTAAATGGTATTGCATGCTTTATTTTATTTTCCAATTGTTTGTTGCTAGTATATAGAAATGCATTTTTTTGGTATAATAATCTCGTATCCTGTAACCTTGCTAATTTACTTATTGGTTCATAGTTTTTTCATTTTTTTGGTGTTTTTTTTTTTTTTTCCTGGCAAATACCTCAGGATTTTCTACATGCACGATTATGGCATTTGTGGCGATAGATAGTTTTACTCCTTCCTTTCCTATCTGTGTGGGGTTGTACCCCTCATTTCCTCTCGATAGGACTTCCTGTACCATTTTGAACAGAAGTGGTGAGAGCACTGTCTTTTTTCCTGAATGTGTGGGAAAGTCTTCAGTCTTCACGGTTAGGTGTGATGTTTCCTGTAAATGCCCTTCACCAGGTTGAGGAAGTTTCCTTCTTTTCCTAGTTTGCTGAGAGTTTTTACCATTCACAAGTGTTGAATTTTGTCAAATACTTTTCTACATCTATTGAGAGGATTATATAAATTTTCTTCTTTATTAATGTAGTGAATTACATTGATGTTTTAATGTTGAAATAAACCTTGTATTTCCAGGATATCTGTTTGTGATATATTATTTGTTTTATATATTGCTAGATTCGATTTGCTAATATTTTATTAAGGATTTATATGTCTGCGCTTATTATGGTATTAGTCTGTACTTTTCTTGTAATATCTTTTCCTAGTTTGGGTATGAAGATAAAACTTGACTTAGAAAATGGGCTGGGAAGAGTCTTTATTTTCTGAAGTGGTCAAGATTGGTGTTGCTTTATTCTTAAATGTCTGATGGAACTTACCGGTAACACCATCTGGGTGAGATATTTTCTTTGTAGAAAGGTTTTAAATTAAGAATTCAGCCGGGCGCGGTGGCTCACGCCTGTAATCCTAGCTCTCTGGGAGGCCGAGCCGGGCGGATCATTTGAGTTCAGGAGTTCGAAACCAACCTGAGCAAGAGCGAGACCCCGTCTCTACTATAAATAGAAAAATTAATTGGCCAACTAATATATATAGAAAAAATTAGCCGGGCATGGTGGCGCATGCCTGTAGTCCCAGCTACTCGGGAGGCTGAGGCAGGAGGATCGCTTGAGCCCAGGAGTTTGAGGTTGCTGTGAGCTAGGCTGATGCCATGGCACTCACTCTAGCCTGGGCAACAAAGCGAGACTCTGTCTCAAAAAAAAAAAAAAAAAAAGAAGAATTCAACAACTTTAGTAGACATACACTATTCAAATTTTATATTTCTTATATACATTTTAGCAAATTGTGAGCTTTAAAAAGTTTGTCCATTTCATCTAAGCTGTCAAATTCATTTGCATAAAGTTCCTAATAATATTCCTTTATTATTCTTCTAATGTCTGTAGCATATGAAGGGGTATCTCATCTTTCATTTCTAATATTAGTAACTTATGGAGTAATATTTTTGATCAATCTAGCCAGAAGCTTGTCGACTTTATTATCTTTCAAATAACCATGTTTTTGTTTTACTGATTTCCCTGTTGTTTTCCTTCCACATCAGATTTCCACTCCTTCTTGTTTCCTTTTTCCTACTTACTTGGGTTTAATTTGTTGTCGTTTTCTAGCTTCCCAAAGTGGAATCTTGTATCAGTGACTCTAGACCTTTCTTTCCTAATACAGGTACTTAAAGCTACAATTTTCCCCTAAGCGTGGCATTAACCTTATCTCACAAATATTGATAAGTCATGTTTTCATGATCATTTAGTTCAAAATATTTTGTGTCCCCTTGATTACTTATTTAACCCTTGAGTTTTGTATGTGTGTTATTTAATTCACAGATATTTACCTCTGGGGCGTCTCAGGGGAGGGTGCCAGGGGGACTCAGAGATCACCCGTGGTGCATAACTGGGTGTTCATTTGTGTCTATTCAACACCGTATTAGAGCAATTTTTAAAAGCCCCAGGGACTGGTCAGCCTTGCCAAACGCTGCTGGCAGGTGGATTGAGAGGCTTCCTGGGACACGGGAGTCCAAAGGGGCCTCGGCGAGAGAGACTCCGGTGGGCTGGCCGTGGCGGGGTTCACACTTCAGTGGGTTGAGCACGGGGGTGGGGTGTTGAGGAAATGGACTCTGTGCGTGCAGACGTGTCTTGCAGAGGGATCTGTGAGACCTGCCTGAGCTGGTGCGTGGTCCTCTGCAGGGCTTGGCGGCCAGCCAGGCCGTTGGAGCAGGCAGACGGTTAACCAGAGCCAGGGCTGTCCAGAGGGCAGGGTCGAAGGGCAGGGCTGGGGGCCCTGCATCGGCCGGACAAGTGGCCGAGGCTGGGCTCCACGTGCCGGCCGGCAGGGCTCCCTGGGGACAGTTCTCGTGCTCGGGGAGCTGCACCCACAGAGCTGCCCTGGCGCGGGGCAGGATTCGTGGTCCTGCCTCTCCCCCGGGGGCGTGCACCTAACTGTCCCGGCCGCCAGACAGCAGTGGTTCCGCACAACCGCAGAACCTGCCGGATCTGCCTTATCTGTGTCAACTTCCTGCCGCTCCAACCCCAGCCCTGCCGAGAGCTGTGTGACTGTCACTGGCTTCAGAGGAGGAGGAGGAGGGCGTCAGAGCCCCCCTGGCCCAGGGTCTGGCCAGGGGTGCTCAGCAAACATGTGCTTGAGAAAAAGAACAAGTGCATGAGGGTGGGTGGCTGGAAGAGGCTGGCGGCAGTGGGGCTACCCCGAGATGCCCCGCAGGGTGGCAGGGGTGGGAGGAGAAGCAGGGCTGAGCATTCTGGGTGAGGAGGGGCCCAGGACATGAATGCCAGCCCGCCCTGCACACGAGAGCCCGGCAAGGGACCGGAGCTGCTGCAGGTTGTGAAAGTGATCGAGCACCAAGTAAAAACCGTCTGCCGTTTCCTGATGCCCCAGGTTGACCCTGACCTGGCTCTAACCCTAACTCCGATCCAGACCTCACAGCGACCCGCATCCTGTCTCCAGCCCCAACTGCACCCTGGGAGGCAGTGCTGTGCTCCCCGCCAGCCCCTCCGCTGGCCACCTTGCCCCAGACCCCTGCCCCGCAAACGCAGCCCCCGCCTCCTGCGCGTCCGTGGCCTTCCTCACTTCCGCAGCCTGTCAGTGCATCTGCCCCT